AGATTTTATTTTTTTTTCTTGGTTTTTTTTTTTTTTTTTGGTGTGTGTGTTCCAATGCAAACCAATGAAATGAACATGTGGGTACCAAAACATTTGCAACTGCAACAATTTTCTGAGGGGAGGGTTGCATTTTCTGACAGAATTACAAGGGTACCAATATTTTTGGCCATGACTGTATCTTTAAGAGCTGCTTATGCTAGTGCAGATGTATATTTTCTAAAAATGTTTTTTTCAGTTTTTAATCTGAAAGCCTCTTTAGAGAAGTACTTCCTGATTCAAATGATGATGTATTTGTCAGTGGAGAGGTTGTCAAAAAAAGTCCAGTATGCAGATGGTAATGGTATTATTAGCTGACAAATCAGCTGGTTACTCAGTAAAATCAATGTTCCAAATAATAAATATAGGCTAAAAACAACTTGTAAGAAAACCAGGTTCAAAGTATCCAGTAAAAAGCAAGCAGCCTGAGAGACAAAATTTATAATCCCAAATTAAAATGTAGAACAAATTGACAAATATATAGTGGAACCATAGTCTTGTAGTAAATGTCAGAGAAGAGATGACCTAGGGCATCACTGGTGAACCTTTGGCACATGTACCACAGCTGGCACGCAGAGCCCTCTCTGGGCACGTGAGCTATAAGTCACCATTGAGAAATACCTGTCCTCCGATCCCAGATTTCGGCACTCCCCTCTGCTGGTGCAGTGGTCCAGCGGAGGGGTGCAATGATGGCCATTATTGGTCTAGCCTGAGGGGGGGGGTTGGAGGACCAGTAAGTGTTTCCCTGCTAATACTGCCCCAGGAGAGAGAGAGAGAAAAAAAAACCAAGCATTTAATCCTTGCAGTGCAGGGGCAGTTGTTTTTTCTAAACTAAAACCACAGTATTCAGGTTTAATTGCAGTGTTGACTCTTTGAAATAAATAAGTTGGTTTGGTGTAGCAGTTTGTGCACTTGGGCTCAAAAAGGTTCACCATCACTGGCCTAGGGCAGTGTTTTTAAAGTACAGAATGCCATGAAAACTGCCTTTGAGAATGCCTTTTATATGGTGCTGTGTATTTTTGGTTCTACTGTATTACATGGAATTGTCAACTTTTTAAAAACAGATAATTTTAAAGAGACAGAAGTATTTCAAATATAGATTTATCATAGGAAACCTATGAATTTGTTGGCTGACATTCTGTTTGTGCAAGAAATAATGATCGGGTAGATTTTGGAAATTAAAACTTTCCTCTCTCATCCCAAGGCTCCTACAGATTCTAAGCAATCCCTTTCATCAGAGGGAACCTGTGGGAGCCATGACACTGATAATTATGTTACTTCTAAGTAGTTACCTTCAAGCTTTAATTTTTTTGGTAAAGTGATTTTATGAATAAAGCTTTTTTGTAAATAATATTTTTAGAAGATGTTTTGTGGTGCTTCTGCCATAAGTTTTAATATTAAGAGGGCCATTCTTCCTATGGTTATCATTAAAGTGTGCTGTCAGATTTATCTGCATAGACAATACTATAAAAATGTTACTGCTGTGAAAATGTTCACTAACTAAGCAGGTACTCCTGAAGCACTATATGTAGTACAAATACTCTCTCCATCCAAGGGTCATGTTCTGCCACCGGGAGATCAGTGTGTGGAAATTAAAGAGAAAGAGCAAGGAAGGCATAATGATCAGAACAGTTGCAAAGCCATGGATCACTAGTCTGTCACCAACATGCTGTTGCATCCCCCAAAATGAGATTTGATCAACACTGTAGGGTCATTATGTCTGGTGCTGACGTTTCTAGCTTGACTATAGCACTTTCAGGAAAATACTTCCATTTTCCTCTTCATTCCCTCTGCTTCACAATTCTGTTGCAAATTCCACTTGGCCAACCTCTTCATATTTACTTCAGGTTGTGTTTCCTCTATCTTCCTATAGTTTTTTCCCCCTCAAAAATTAGCTACAACACTTTTTTGTTTAATGATGCTTATTTAATAGCACTCCCCTTCTGTTCATTGCCCCATGTGTATTGCTTCAAAAGCCTATGCAAATAAGTATGGCAAAATACAGTTTTAAATTTGTTTGCCTGATTCATTTATCTGCTACCAAAATGTGCTTGAGAAACAGAAATATATATATATTCAAGTTCTTAATTTGCCCTGAGGTTATATTAGCATCAGTTAACTTTTTGTGTGAAGGAATTTTACAAAGAATTAAACAGACAGCAAGGCTATGAAGGGATAGTGGCACTGCAACAAATGATCACCATTAATGAATGCATGCACTTTCAAATTGTTTTGACCTCCTAGTGTTTAATCATCACATTTCTTTAGGTATTTTTTAAGTTCCAAGCCAGTGAGTGCATAACACAATCTCCATAACAAGCCATTCTATTTCCTATTGTA